TTATTTCCACGCGGGGAGGCGGAGGTGGGGGAGGGAGGGGGTGACAAAAAAAAGACTATTGGAGTACAAGCCTGATCACCTGATGGCCACCTGCCTATAGGCGTGTGAAACACGCGCGCACACGCACGTGGGGGGCTGCGCGGGGCTGGCGAGGGGCAGCACGTGGAGGGCGGGACGGGCCCTGGCGCAGGCCGGGAGGGCGGGCGCCCCTCGGGGGCGGGGGCGGGGGGCGCAGCTAGAAGCTGCCAGCAGGCAGGCTCCCTGCCCGCTCCCTGGTTTGCTTGTTTGTTTAGGGCTAGCTCCTACTTAGACTCCTAGTTAGTGGGATGATGAAGCTAACACTTCTTTTGGCCCTGACCCTGCCACCCTGGCTGCTAGGTAGAAGACATAGACACGCAATTGGGTCAAGTTTACAGTGGATTGGAGGGTAGTTCTGGAAACAGGAAGGAAGGGGAGGAAGATCCTGCTTAGAAAGCGATGCCCTAGCAAGACAGCGGCGCCTTCACGTGAAGTCGGATGGGCAATGTCTAAAAGCCACGGATCCCCTCATCCCTGCCTTGGCTGAGTTTTGCCTTGGTTGAGTTTTAGCTGCGCGGTTTTCCGCCTTCCTGCGAAGGTGGATGCAGGTGCGATGACCCGCCCCCTTATCCCACTCCTTGAGCCTTTTGGTCGGCTGCTGTGTACACCCCTCCGCCAGCCACTCCCAGGGTTTTATGCAATATGCCTGCTGCCATACGTAGCCGGCTCAGCCTTCATACCAACTTATCAATTGAAGATGATAGGCTTACATGGTCATGTCCTAATTAATACATATTGACTATGCTGATGATCACCGGGTCTTTTTCTTTATTCATTCATTGCTACTCAAAGCTTGAAAAGAAGAGAGAGAGAAAAAAACAGAAAAGGAGAAGCTAGTAGGTGACATATTGGGACAAAGGACAGTGCTGGTTTTGCGTATTTGTAACGTTTAATATGCTATGATGCTTTGTCAAAGGAGTCGTCCTGTATATCAGATAGGAGAAATACAATAAGAGATTCCTGAAACTGTTTGTTAAATACACTTGCACACGCCCACAACAGAAAGGCAAGACTGTAATAAAGGTGCTAACATCTAGAACTAATACATTCTCTTAAAATGTGAAAATAAACCAGAGCAATTCCATTCCTCCTCAGTAAGATCTCATTTTTAAATTAATGTCCATATTCTTTCTAGGAATATTGTTAAATATGCTACTGTAATCCCCATGGGTAGCAAATTTTTAGTGAGTGGAGTGGGTAGGAGAAAGACTGTGTTCGCAATGCAAAAAGATCGTTTATCCATTTTTCAGTGCCCACGTGAAAATCAACAATTTTGAACTCATTAAAAAAAAGAACAATATCCTGCAAAAATATCCAGGCAAAGACAAGTTGTATTGGCGCCAAGACATTGTGTTATTAGCCATATTGCAGCAGGTGTGATCACCCAGGATGTAGACACCTCTTCAGTATTTAAGAGCATATCTGACTTTTCGTTTTGTTTTATTTTTTGCGGCTATAGGCTAGATTTTGGATCAGCTACATTTTTATGGCTATAATTCATTTTCATGGTAGTCTATTTTCTAAAAACGAAACTTTAATGTTGTTATATTATGGGTTCATTCAGACTCAAATATATT